CTGCGCCGCGAGGCAGCTCTAGTGCGAAAACGCCCCTGGTTGCAGCCGGATGCTCTCCGTGTGATCGCACCAGCGTGCTCCCTTCGCATCGCTGCTTCCTGGTTGGAGCGTGCCAGAATGCCTCAGTTTCTATGCCCTGTTATTGGACCTCCAGAGGAACTGGTTGGCCACTATGTGAGACCAGTATGGTTGGCCACTATGGAAACAATGCCGTCATGTCTGATCGCGTTGGGATGCGTCAAATTGCGATGGAGCAAATCGCCAGCCCCCCCCCAGCGATTTCCGGCATGTGTGACCGGGACCGTTAAAAGGCAGAATATACAAAAATACCAGAGATCCGTAACAAACTATGACTCCCTGCTTGATGCAGGATCAGCCTAAAGCAAACATCTTCTTGGTCCTTAAGGTTCTCCTGGACTCCAGTCTAGTTGTTATTCCCGCGGACCAACCCTCTGAAATGATCTCACTGTAGATGCTCATTCCCTGCCCCTAAGAACTTCTCTAGGTTTGCCAAGTGGCACTTACCTTGCCGGCGGGGGACTCCCGTTCGGATCCCAGCGTGTGTGCGCACACACGAAGCGTGTGTGCGCTGCATGCACGTCACAGGGAAGTGACATCATGAGGCCGGGCATGCTGGGGGTGGGGCCACAACCATACAAGGGAAAACCATAGAGTTTTCCCGTGCCCCCCTGCCTCGTGTCACAGGCACAGGCCCCTCCGAGGCTGGAGGAGGTGGCACTTTGGGGTGGAAGCGCCTCTGCCGATGGAGCGGCTGCCTGCAGAGCTGGCCTTGAGCAGATCATTCCGAGTAACCCGCCCCCCCCCTCCTTCCTTCCTTCTTCTTCTTCTAGAGTCGTGGTTTGCAACCTCTACCCCTTTGTCAAGACTGTAGAGTCCCCGAATGTCACCGTCCAAGAGGCGGTTGAACAGATTGACATAGGTAAGTTTAAAAAAAAAAGTTTAAGTGGGTCGCACATTCTCTGTGTGCAAAGACGGAAGCGTAACTGATGTCGCCGCTAAAAAAAAAAACACAAGTCAAATCATGTCCAACTTAATCTTAAGTCGTCCTGATCGATAAATACCCTTTCTTAACCAAAGGTGGCGTGGCTTTGCTGAGAGCGGCTGCGAAGAACCATGCCCGGGTGACCGTTGTGTGTGACCCTGGGGACTACACCCTTGTGGCGAAGGAAATGAAGGCATCGAGTAAGAACGACACCACGATGGAGACCCGCCGCCAGTTGGCCCTCAAGGTACATGGTGTGTTCTTGCGGGAAAGCAGCGCTGGACCAGCCGAACTTCTCCAGTATCCTGGTTTTCTTTTTCATTGGTGGTGTAGTTTTTTTTAAAATTTCTCATATGTGCATGTGTGTTTGAGTGTGTGTGTGTGTGCCCCTGGAAGTCGTGGCGACCTCTGGTGACTGACCCCTACCGGGGGCCTGGAGGATATTCAGAGATATTCAGAGAGGGGGCTGAATGAAGCCTGCCCCTGTTATACCAATAGATTCCCAGTCCAAAAAGAAGGAGTCAAAATGAGGGGGAAAGTTCATGGTGTTTTAATTGCAACCAAGACACTTGAAAACAGTTAGGCCAAACTTAGCCTTTCAAAAAATTTCTGAACGCAATCAGGAAATACATGAAATTTTATACTTGAAATGACATAGTCATGAAGATAACATTCAAAAAGTGAAATTGGTCGCAAAGGACAATGCATCATTTGAGTAATAG